AGATACAGAATGCACAAGTAAGTTAACAATGGTAGTTGGTTAGAAACTATTATATGTGTGGAGACCTTGCAACTGAGTGAGAGTTGACAAAAGATGTTTATGTTACCTTTTTATTATTAAATTTATTGATTAATAAATTTATTTGCTGCCCATCTCACAGTTTGAGGCAAGTCTGAGCATCTTGCCTTACCCAACTGTTCATAGCAATACTGACACTACCCATTTTTTCCTTGTCAAAAATATTGTTCTTACACAATGCATTTTTTAAAATGAAACATTTTCCATTGTACATTTTTTCCCCTCATATCACAAACTCAAAGGGGAATGCAACACATACGTCAGCAATATGGTGCTGCTGTCACCCAGCAGCCATCAAAGGGTAACAAGCAAGCATTTCCAAGAAGAGGAGATCACAGCAGGAGTTGCTAATAAACCTGGAGATCTTGTGATCAAAGCTGTTATGTACTGAGCAGGTTCCCCAGGTTGTGCCCCCTGTTGGAACAGATAGTAGGGTAATGCTTTGTGATTGGTTATCCACGCTGACAGCCGGTATATAAGAGCTGTCAGCGATTGTTCGAGTTGAGTTCTGAGTTCTGAGGAGATCGTTCAGAGTCTCCTGTTCAAGTTAATAAAGAAGTTACCTCAGAGGTTAATGTCGTGTGAAGAGACTATTTGTCAGTATTTATTACTGGCGACGAGGGTGGGATCATCGGACCGGGCAGAATAAACGTCTGTGATTGAACCTTGCTGAGGTAACTGTGAAACGAGACACACAATGGCTGCATCACATAATTTCGCTCCATTCAACCAAGGCAAAGAAACGTGGGACGCCTATGTAGCCCGTTTCAAGTGCTTCTTAATAGCCAACGACTACACTAATCTGTCTTCAGAGAGGAAGAGGGCATATTTCCTTAGTTTTTGTGACACAGAGATGTTCGATACAGCCATGACCCTTATGGCTCCCCAATCCATACATGCTGGAACTTGGGAGGAATTCATGGGCAAACTTAAGAGACACTATGCGCCAGCCCCATCCAGAATTGCCCGGCGTCAGCATTTCTACCATCGCGACCAAGCCCCGGATGAATCAATCAACCAATATGTCGCGGCGTTGCGTAGGGCTACCCGCCATTGCGAATTTGACAATTTAGATGATTACCTGCTAGACCGCCTTGTGAGTGGAGTGCGCGATCAAAATTTGAAACAGTATTAAATTATCAAGTAGGAAGTATAAGAATTATAAAGTAAAAATAGAGGAAAAGAAGAAATTGATAAAAGAACTGGAAAATAGATTCCTAGTGACTAAGGATAGAAAATTATGGGAGGAACTTAAAAAATTGAAAAATAAAGAAATAGCGGAAGATACAGAAATAGTTAAAAAAAATTAAGCTATTTAAAAAGAGAATTTTTTGAATATGGTAATAAAAATTCAAAATTATTAGCAAGAATGGCGAAAGATAAAAAAGAAAAAAGAGAAATAGGTGTCCTAATAGATGAAAAAGGTAAGAGATGTTATAAAAAATTAGAGAAATGTGAAATTGTTAAAAAGTTTTTTCAAGAATTATATCTTAAAAAAGAAATTGATAATTGCAAATTAAAAAATTTCTTAGAAAAATATGGTCAGAAGAAAATTGATAATAAACATAAAGAAAAAATGGAAAAGGATATTACCTCTGAGGAAATTAAAGATGTGATTCAGAAGCTAAAATTTGGAAAATCTCCAGGTGAGGATGGGTTACCAGCAGAATTTTATAAAGAGTTTAAAGAAATTTTGATCCCAAAACTACAGAAATTGTATAATAAGATATTACATGGAGATGATATTCCCATGTCCTGGAATAGAACAATTATATCCTTAATCCCGAAACCAGCTAAAGATTTAGAAAAGATTGAATCCTATCGGCCCATTTCCTTGATCAACCAAGATGCTAAGATATTTACTGCAATTCTAGCAAATAGATTGAATAATTTTATAGATAAATATATAAACTATAATCAAGTAGGTTTTGTTAAAGGGCGTTATATGTGTGATTTAGTTAGAAGAGTATTAAATGTTATTGATATTGCTGAGAATAACGGTGATAAGATAGGTATTCTTGCCTTGGATATTTTTAAAGCCTTTGATTCTATACAACGGGATACTATAAAAGAAATGATTTCTGCATTAGGATTTGGTAATAAATTTATTCATATTATTTCCAAATTGCACCAGAGGGGTACAGCAAGAGTGAAGGTAAATGGTATATTTACACAAGATATAAATTTGGAAGCAGGGACAAGACAAGCCTTTGGAAGGAAAGCCTAAGTGTGCAATTAAGCAAAGCAGTCTCGTTTAACAGCTGCTGCAAGGTGTAATCGTAATTGGAAGGCCCCGTGACAGAATGGCCTAAGGCCTGCAGGGAGCCAGTGGGAGTGGGAAAAGGCCTGGGGGTTACTCTGTGGGAAGGGCTGGGGAGGGGGGGGAGGAAAAGCCTCGTGGGACGATGTACGAGAGGAAAAGGCCTTGAGGCAGTGATGAAATCTGAACCGGTTTGCTATCAGTTCGCTGGCCACGCATGTGCACACTGCATGCACAGTGCATACCAAAAGGAGACTTGGGAAGGTAAGTAGAACAGTGAGGGGAGGGGAATCAGCTATGACACACGGTTTTGCTTCGCTAGAAAGCAGAAAATACTGCTTTCTAGCAAAGCTAAACTGTGCAACACGGTTGGCATGCACTGTTATGGAGAGAGAACAATATAAGTATTTTAAGAGACATTATTTAAGGCGAATATTGCTGGAAACCTGGGACATAATTAGAGGAAAATTTTATACCAAGATCCCAACCTGGTTCTCAGCAAGAGAAGCGACGATATATCCAACAACTCTTAAACAGGATAATATTTATAGATATAAAGAGCTTGTGGATGCCCAAGGGATATTAAGATCTAGGGAAGATTTGGCTGATAAAGGAATTAGGCTAGATTGGTGGACCTATGCTATAGTTCAATCTCGTTACAGGAAGGATAGAGATAATTACGGGATACATGTGATGGAACAGAGTTTTGATAAAATATTAATGGGAGAGGACCATAAATACATAACTAAAATGTATGCACAATTGCTTGAGCGAATGATAGGAGAGGAGGTAAAAGACACTATGATTGCCTGGAAGAGGAATTTTGGATACTCGATTCCTTTAGAAAAATGGCAACAAATGTGGAGGAAAAATATTAAAATGACTGCGGCAATGTCTTTCAAGGAAAATGCATATAAAATGTTGTATAGGTGGCACCTCCCACCAGCAAGAATTGCTAAAATGTTTCCGGGTGTATCAGAGTTATGTTGGAAATGTGGGAAAACCAGAGGTGCGTATTTCCATCAATGGTGGACTTGTATAATGGCAAAGAGGTATTGGAGAAGGATTAGGAATTGGATTAAGGAAATTACTAATGTGGACCTCCAATGGAAACCTGAGATATATTTACTAGGTATTCGCCCAGAGGGGCTGAGTAAGAAAAAATGGTATCTCACTCTACATATTTTAGTCGCAGCTAGAATAGTGTTCGCCCAACAGTGGAAAGAAAAGATACCGGCTAGTGCCCAAATTATAAATAAAGTATTAGAGTGCGCTGAAGTGGAATGACGTATAGGTTGAAAGAAAAAGAGGATTCTGAATTTTTTCAAAGTTGGGACAGTTGGTATCGGTGGTTGAATAAAAGGATTGAGATGAAGTGAGGGCCTAAGTCAATATGAGGAGAGATATACTTATCTAGATTGAAAGATAATTGTATGAAAACCATACTTGGGGATTATTTACTTTATTCTGTGTTGTGGGCATAATTATTTATTAATGAGGGCAGGAATATTATCTGCAGGGATAGACGTGTCTGTATGTTTAGTGTTATGAATGGGGGAGGGATGGAGAGGAATGTATGGTTTTTGTTTTTATGTATAATCAATGTTTTTGTCTTATGTTGATTTTAACTTGAAAAACTTAATAAAATTTATTTTTTAAAAAAAGAAATAATCATACAGCCGAGAGATTTGTGTCCTACCCATCTTCCCCAATGTAAGGTTCAGATGTCTTCAAAAGATACAGAGGAGGACGCTATGAGGCCTGGTAGGGTTGGACTTTGACCTAAGGACTACAGGGACCCTGTTTTAGGAAGGGGAGGCCTGGGGAGACTCTGTGAGGGACGGAGAGGCCTGGGGAGACCTAAGAGATGGGTTATGGGAGGCCTTTGGAAGGAAAGCCTAAGACTGCAATTAAGCAAAGCAGTCTTGTTTAACAGCTGCTGCAAGGTGCAATCCTAATTGGTAGGCCCCGTGACAGAATGGCCTAAGGTCTGCAGGGAGCCAGTGGGAGTGGGAAAAGGCCTCGGAGGTACTCTGTGCGGAGGCCTGGTGGGGGGGGGGCTTCCCCTGAACCGGAGCAAACCGGTAGCATTTCACCCCTGCCTTGGGAGAACCAAGGGTTGGAAACCAGAGCAATAGGTGTCTTGAGGGGTGGGGGTGAAGGAGGCCTAGGGATGCCTGGGGAGAACCAAGTGTTGGGAACCAGAGCAATAGGTGTCTTGGGGGGTGGGGATTGAGGAGGCCTAAGGTTGTCTGGGGGGAAGCACGCAAGCCTGGGCCTGGGCTAAGCCTCGGAGACTTTTCCTGAACACTGAGGTAGCCAGTATCCTATTTAGCAACTTGCACATTCATTTAATAGCTGCATAATAGACAGCATGGGATGGGGTTAGTTAACCAAAGCACTGTCGCCATTGCTAAATGCATCCATAATAGTTAGTTCTTGTTACAGTTGTATCTCGAGGATTACTTGTATGCTGGCTGGGAAATTGTGAGGTTCAAAACCGGGAGTTCAGCAAGATAGAAAGCTGAAACTCCACATGTTGGAATTCCATAATCAAAAAACACCACCCAAAGGCCTGTTTGCAGAAATTCCACAACTTCTGCAAAAGGAAAACAACAAGAAAGTACTGCTGATAATCAGAAACAGGTTAGCCTTTATCAAACTAATATTTTCCATTTTTCTCTCCCCACCTACAGGTCTAATCCTGAGATCTTTTGATTAAAAAGAATCAGGCCAGAATTTAAATAATCAATTCCTCATCTATACTCCAAATGGGAGATCAGAAATGAATTTCAAGCTTTCTCTAAACTGTTCAATATTTGCCTCATGTGCATTTTCTTGTGAGCAATCAGAGATGATTTACGCCTAAAGCATTGTTCACAAGATGGACATTGGAAAGGTTTCTCTCCTGTGTGAGTCCTCTGGTGGCCAATGAGGTGGGAACTCTGACTAAAACTTTTCCCACATTCAGGACATTCAAAGGGTTTCTCTCCAGTGTGAGTCCTCTGGTGTCTCACCAGGCGGGAATTCTGACTGAAACTTTTCCCACATTCAGGACATTCAAAGGGTTTCTCTCCTGTGTGAGTCCTCTGGTGTTTCACCAGGCTGGAATTCTGACTGAAACTTTTCCCACAATCAGGAAATTCAAAGGGTTTTTCTCCTGTATGAATCCTCTGGTGTATCACCAGGTAGGAATTCTGACTGAAACGTTTCCCACAATCAGGACATTCAAAGGGTTTCTCTCCTGTGTGAGTCCTCTGGTGTTTCACCAGGCTGGAATTCTGACTGAAACATTTCCCACAATCAGGAAATTCAAAGGGTTTTTCTCCTGTATGAATCCTCTGGTGTATCACCAGGTAGGAATTCTGACTGAAACATTTCCCACAATCAGGACATTCAAAGGGTTTCTCTCCTGTGTGAGTCCTCTGGTATATCAGCAGGCTGGAATTTTGACTGAAGCTTTTTCCGCATTCAGGACATTCAAAGGGTTTCTCTCCTGTGTGAGTCCTCTGGTGTATCACCAGGTGGGAATTTGCAATGAAACATTTCCCACAAACTGGACACTTGTATGGCTTCTCCCTGGTGTGAGTCCGCTGATGTATCACAAACTTGCCATGCTTGCAAAAGCATTTACCACATTGGGAGCAGTTGTAGGTCATCTGTTCTATGTGGATCCTTCTATGAATCACAAGGAAGCTATTCTGACCAAAGCTTTTGCCACATTCAGAGGATTTATATGGCTGATCTCCAGTGTGGATCTTCTTGTGATTTGAACTCTCTACTTTTTCCCACAATAGGCTTTCTGAAGGAAATGGAAAATATTTTTTTTTATTTCTGCTTCAATTTGCTTTGCTTTTCAATGTTGCTTATTATTCTCAGTTGTCCAGTGTTGTTATATTGGTAGCTTTGTCTGTAAGATTCAAATGAAAGTGTAAATTTTGTTGTTTATAAAAAGGTTGCAGAAGATGTAAAGAAAAGTAGTACAGGTAATCCTTGAGGTAAAACAGGCCATTCAACGAAAGTTCAAAGTTACTACACCCATACTGTTATGTAAATAGGTTTGTTTGGCGGGAAGTTTGAATTAACTGACCCTCAGCTGATTGGCTGACCACTACTCTTGTAAGGTATATAAAGGGAGCTGGCTCCCAGGTTGAGTTGCTGGAGTCTCACCATATAATAAAGAGCTGTTGTCACGAACTACTCTGGCTTGCTGCGTCCTCATTCACCCAACTTAACATTGGCGACGAAGGTGGGATTTTGAGGCCAGAAGCAGAGGAGAGCTGAAGCCACACTCGAGAAAGAGCTGAAGCCACGTTCAGAGAGGGGACCGGAGACCGCAACAGAATCCAGCCAGGCGAGCGAGCGGAGCACAGGAGAATCCCCAAAACGATGTCTGCCTACACCCCGCCAGCGCCTTTCGACCCCAAGGAAGAGAAGTGGGGATCCTACATGTCTCGGTTCGAGTGCTTCATGGTGGCAAACGACATGCAGGGGCTACCGGACGTTCGGAAGAAAGCCCTGTTCCTGAGCCACTGCGGGCCAAGGGTCTTCGACACAGCCGAAGCATTGTCAGAGCCGAATTCGGTCCACAACATTTCCTGGTCGACGCTACAGACCCTGCTGAAAGACCATTATGCACCAACGCCATCAAAGTACGTCCAACGCTATGATTTCCGGCAACGGCTACAGCAGGAGGGCGAATCGATCAGCGAGTACATCGCTGCCCTGCGTAAGGCCGCAACCCAATGTGAGTACCGAGACTTGGATGAGATGCTCCTAGAGCAACTAATTTGCGGAGTGAGAGATAGCCGACTCCAGCGAAGGCTGCTTGCGAGGTCAAACCTGACCCTACTCATCGCGCTAGATGAGGCCAGGGCACAAGAGTCGTCAACAAAGGCTGCAGAGAGACTAAAGAGCTCCCACTTAACCAGAACAACGCAAAAGACGGCACCAGTGCACCGAGAGGCCACAAGCACCGCGAGCGAAGGGGAGTCTGAAGAAGAAGTCTACCGCACCGAGCAGTCCCGCACAGCCCGCAGAGAGCCCAGAGACGGATGCGCCAGCTGCGGAGGGTCCCACTCACGACAAAACTGTAAGTTCAGGGACGCCATTTGCCGTTCCTGTGAAAAAAGGGGCCACATCGCTCGGGTCTGCAGATCCAAGGCACACCAGAGCTACAAACCACATGGCCAACCCTTCCAATCAGAGCCGGCACCACACCGAAGGCCCAACAGAGATGGCGGAAACCGGAAGGGCGCGAAATTTGAGGACGCTGGGGCCTACACCATCCGCATCGCAGAGACCTGCACCTCGCCCGGAGAAAAGACCTACACCACGGTCGAGATCGAGGGACGGGAGTGCCAGATGGAGATCAACACGGGATCACCGATATCCATCATGTCGTGGGAAAACCTAAAGAAAATCATCCCCAGCGCACGCAAGCGACAGCTCCAGCCACAGCAACGCAGATTGAAGGACTACCAGGGGAACCGCATACCCGTCGAAGGAAGAGGCGAGTTCCAAGTACAGTACGGGGAGTTTACCGAGAAACTGCCCCTCACCATAGTCAGCGACAACCTCCCAAGCCTCCTGGGCATGGACTGGTTTAGAGCCCTAGGCATGGGATTCACCGGAGTGAGAAACGTTAGAAGCACCCTGAAGGAAGACCTGATGCAGGAGTTCCAAGACGTGTTCGACGAAAGGCTGGGCAAGTATGTGGGGACCCCGATTTCGTTTAACCTCAACCCCAATATTGCACCCATCCGCTTAAAGCCTAGGCGGGTACCGTTCGCCCTGAAGCCCAAAATTGACATTGAACTGGACAAATTAATCAAACAAGGGGTGCTTGTTCCAGTCGACCACGCCAAATGGGAGACCCCAATTCTTACGCCGGTAAAGCCGGACGGATCAGTGCGCATATGCGCTGATTATAAATGCACAATTAATAAGGCCCTGCAGCAGAGCGCCTATCCAGTGCCCATCATTCACCATTTGTTGCATTCCCTGGGCTCCGGCAAGATCTTCGCAAAACTCGATCTTGCGCAGGCGTACCAGCAACTGCCGGTAGATGGCGCTACCGCAGAGGCACAGACTATCGTAACCCACAGAGGGGCCTTCAAGTGCACCCACTTGCAATTCGGAGTAAGCGTAGCCCCCGGACTTTTCCAAAGTACCATGGAGCGGCTACTACAAGGGATCCCCGGGGTGGTGCCCTATTTTGATGACGTGCTCATTACCGCCGACAATGAGCAGCAACTAAGAGAAAGACTGAGGGGAGTCCTAAGGAAATTCAGGGACGCAGGACTCAGAGTAAAATGAAATAAATGCATGATCGCAGTTCCCTCAGTCGAATTCCTAGGGTACAGGGTAGATGGCACCGGCATACACCCCCAGAAAGCAAGATCAGGGCAATCAGAGAAGCACCCACCCCCAAAGACAAGGCAGAGTTACAGGCCTTCCTGGGACTATTAAACTTTTACGTCATCTTCCTTAAAGACAAGGCAACAGTGGCTGTTAACCAAGAAAGCCACATGGAAATGGGGGAAGGCTGAAGACAGGGCATTCGCCGGCATCAAAAAACTGTTATCAGCTGAAAGCTTTTTAATACAATACAATGCAACGCTTCCCCTTGTTCTAGCATGTGACGCGTCCCCGTTCGGGGTGGGAGCCGTCCTGAGCCACAGACTCCCGAATGGCCTAGAAGTGCCCATTGCGTACTACTCCCGGACTCTATCAAGCGCCGAGCGAAATTATAGCCAGTTCGACAAGGAGGCCCTCGCCACCGTTTCGGGAGTAAAGAAATTCCACGAGTACTTGTTCGGGAGGGACTTTGAACTAATCACCGACCATCGACCGCTCCTGGGTCTCCTCGCGGGAGATCGACCAACCCCGGCAGCACTATCGCCCAGGATGACACTCTGGGCCATCTTCCTCGCAGCATACTCCTATCGCCTGGTACATCGACCAGGGGCGGACATGGGCAATGCGGACGCACTCAGCCGATGCCCACTACCTGACAGCCTAGAAGACCCCACACCCGGCATCTCCATCCTGCTGATAGACGTTTTGGACTCTGGGCCCATAACATCAGCCGAGGTTGCGAGAGCCTCAACCAAAGACCACGTGATCCGGACAGTCGCAAGTTGGGTCATGAGGGGGTGGCCGGAAAAGATTGGGAGCGGGGAATTTAAACCGTTTGCAGGAAAATGGGACGAGCTGACAATGCAAGGGGGGTGTTTGCTATGGGGCGATCGGGTTGTTATTCCTTTACGTTTACGGGAAAAGGTTTTAACATTGTTGCATGAGGGGCACCCTGGTATTGTAAGAATGAAGGGGCTAGCCAGGAGCTACGTCTGGTGGCCCAGCATGGACACAGACATTACCGAGTGGGTGGGGAGATGCCAGCCCTGCCAAGAGTCCAGATCAGATCCACCAACGGCGCCCGTGAGAGAGTGGGAAAGGCCCCAGGGACCCTGGTCCAGGATACACATTGATTTTGCAGGCCCATTTCACGGACAGACCTTCATGGTCGTTGTAGACGCATTCTCCAAGTGGTTGGAGATCAAGCTAATGAAGGCCACTACCACCGACGCAACCATCAGGGAGCTGAGACAGTTATTCGCCACCCATGGGTTACCGGACATCCTAGTGTCAGATAATGGGCCACAATTCACCGCGACACAATTCGAGGGCTATTTAGCAGGACTAGGGATCAGACATGTCCTTTCAGCCCCGTTTCATCCGGCCAGTAACGGACAGGCAGAGAGATTTGTAAGGTCAGCAAAGGAGGCCCTTTCACGTTTAAGCCCCGGAGACTGGCAGGAAAGGATACATAAGTTTTTAATAGCGCAGCACTCCACACCCTGTACAGCCACAGGCCGAAGCCCAGCAGAACTATTAATGGGACGGAAACTCCGAGGAATACTAGATAGGCTCAACCCCAGAGGTTTTCAAGGGGGGGGGAGAGGAAGCTTAGAGAATTCACCATAGGAACACCGGTTCATGCTAGAAACTATGGACAGGGCCCACTCTGGGAAGCCGGGACAATCACAGAAATCACGGGGCCCAAATCATACAGGGTAGATATGGGGGACGGGAGAGTTTGGCGCAGACACATTGACCAGCTAAGAAAACGGGTAAACACAGACACCGACGACAAGTTAGACGACCCCATCTCTGACCATGACTACCAGCCAGAAGCACAAAACACGAGCCCAAGTAGAGCGGAGGACTTAGCTGAGGATTCTGGTATCCAGCGCCGCCCCATCGAGGTAGTCCAAACAGCCGGAGAAGTCGCCGCCCACGAGGAGGTCCCGGAGGCCTCATTGGCGGAGCAGGGAGAAACAGAAAGTCCCTCCGACCTGCTCGACGCCGCCCCTCCGACTAAACTGCGCAGGTCAACTAGGACTCATACATGCCCTAGTCACCTGAGAGACTTTGTATGTAAATAACACCCCAAGTGACTTCTGGGAGGGGAGGAGTGTTATGTAAATAGGTTTGTTTGGCGGGAAGTTTGAATTAACTGACCCTCAGCTGATTGGCTGACCACTACTGTTGTAAGGTATATAAAGGGAGCTGGCTCCCAGGTTGAGTTGCTGGAGTCTCACCATATAATAAAGAGCTGTTGTCACGAACTACTCTGGCTTGCTGCGTCCTCATTCACCCAACTTAACACATACACCCAATGCTAAATACAAATCTGTTTCAAAGTTGAAATTTTGCAGCCTCCCTCCCAATGGTCCATCAACCAGCTGCAGCATACCCTCCCACCTATTTCCCAAACATCTTGCCCGCTCAGTCCTCA